AGGGCAGATTTGAAATCAGGTCTTCCTGACTCCAGGCTCAGCACTCTATCCACTATAGCTACACAGGTAATCAGTCAAGACTTAAAGAAATTAATTCAGATTACTCATTGGAATACAAATACCAAAGTTGAAGCTTAAATACTTTGGCTACATAATGAGAAGACAGTAGTCTTCTGATGTTGGGAAAAGATTGAAGGCAAAAGAAGGGGACAGCAGAGGATAAGATGGTTAGAGCTGTCATAGAAGCAACGAACATGAGCTTAGACAGACGTAGGGAGATAGTGAATAGAAGGGCCTGGTGTGCTATAGTCCATGGGGTCTGAACTGAACTGAACAACAACAAAATACACTAGGCATTGTATTAAGCACTACAGTTATAGACAAAAAACATGACCCATGCCCTAAAGGACCTGTATGTCTTATGGGCCAAAGTAGAAAACCTACTAGCTTCAAAAGGCCCTGTTTATTGGAGCTTGAACTGGTTTTTGCCCTGCCTCCTCAATTCTTCTGTCCAGAGTACCCACAGCTTTCTATCTGGTATAGTACTAGACTGGATGGATAAACTTACTGGTATTTTCCTTTGGTTTTATTGATCACTGCTTCATCTGCTTTTACATCTTTTATATGATACTGCTTTTACATCTTTGCTGGGAAATTTTTCTTTTTAACCATTAAAAGTGGTATTGATATTTTCCAATTTTGTAAAAATAGCAGTTATCTCCCTATATACCTTCTCCACAACCAGAACTGTTGTATTAAAAAAAAAAATTGAACAAAACCAAATGACAAAATGATGGTAAAAGCATATGCAACATTATGCATTCATAGTTTTCCACTCCTCTACCCAGAGAAAGTATCTTATTATATGTTCTTTGGACCAATATAGGCCATTGTTTTATTAATTAGTTTGCTGCCTTTTTAGTGTTTTTGCTCAGAAATTTCTTAAGAGTATGGGCTCAGCTGTAAGATTTCATATTACTATCTTTACAGTGTATCTAATCATCCTGAAAAGCAATTTAGAATTATGTTAAGGTGACTAAAATGTCCATGTAGTTTGAACCAGAGATCCCACTGCTAAAAAAATAACTTGAGGTCAATGATTTTTAAAAAATTCCTAATAATACTAATACTACTAATAATAACAACTAAAAAGCATTTTAAGTTTTACAAAGTGCTTTACATATATTACTTTATTTGCCCCTCACAATAACCCAGTGAAGTAGTTGCTATTACTCCCATTTTATATGGGGAATGTGAGTATAAGTGACTTGTCCACAACCATAGAGCTAGTGTATGGATGAAGAATTTACTGAAGTCATCTGAGATATTTAGCCAAGAGAAGACAAAAGGAACATCACTGTTTTGAAATGTCTGAAAGGCCACATTGTGAAAGAGATTAGATTTCTTCTGCTTGACCCTAGACTAGAAGCAATAGGTGGAAATGATAGAAAGGAAACTTATTTTAAGAAAAAAATTTCTTTAAAATCAGAGCGATACCAAGACAATGACTTGTTTCATAAAGCAGAATGTTCCCATTCTCTAGAGGTTTTCAAACAGGCAAGACAACCACTGTAAGGTGCTGTGCATGGAAGACTCTTGTTGAGGAATTTGAAGTTGGTGGCCTATGAGATCCCTTCCACCACTAAGATTCTGAAGTGACTTCTTTTCATAAGTTTTGTGGTGCGAAGTGATTCATACTAGCATGAAGTAAAGAGAATTTTTTTTTAAAGATGAAATTTAATAAGGATAAATGTAAAGTCTTAGATGGGTTTTTAAAAAGCAACTTCATAAATTCAAGATGGGGAATACTGTCTAAAAGGAGTTCCTCTGAAAAATAAGTGATGCTTATAGTTGACAGCAAGCTTCAAATTAGTAAACACTATGATTGGTATGACCCCCAAGAAACCAAATACCAAATTAGAATCTCTTAAGGGACACAATATTTACGACTTCGGTGATGATAGAATGGTTGCAATCTGATAGCCAAACCATACATAGTGCATTATTTTCAGTTCTTTCAGTTTTTCAGTCATGTCCTACTCTTTGGACTTTTCTTGGCAAACATACTACGTAGTTTGCCCTTTCCTTCTCTAGTTCATTTTGCAGATAAGGAAAATGAGGCAAACAGTGTTAAGTGACTTGCTCAGTCACACAATTAGTGTCTGAGGCCAGATTTGAACTCAGAACGCTAGTCTTTCTGACTCCAGGCCCAACACTCTATCCACTGTGCCACCTAGCTTCCCCTAGGAATCACATTTTAAGGCAAATATAATTAAACTTGAAAGTGTTCAAAGAAGGTCAGCAGGAAGGTTTAGTTAAAAGTCAAGTTCATACCAGATGAGGAAATGTTTAGCTTGAGGAAAAAAAGGCAGGGGAAATGTGTTAGTGGTCAAGTACTTGAAGGGTTCTCAAACAGCAGAAGTATTACACTGGTTCTGGTTGGCTCTAGAAAACAGAACCAGGACCAATGGATGAAAGTTACAAGGAGAAAACTTAGGCTTGATGTAAGGAAAAACTTTCTAATGATTAGAGTGATCCTTGGTTGAACGGACTGTCTCAGAAGGTAGTGGGTTTGCCTGTGCTGTAGGTCTTCAAGCAAAGGATAGTAACTCTGTGTGTGTGTGTGTGTGTGTGTGTGTGTGTGCGCTGTATGATAGATTCCTTTGGCAATTTGAAGTCCATCTCAACTTAATGGTTTGAAAAACAAAGCACAAAACACATAAGGTTGCAAAGGAAACCAGTTGAAAAACTTATCCAAAATATTGAAAAGTCAAATAATCCTTAATTAAGAATCTCTGCTAAAGAGTTGTTATTCAAGTATGGATTGGACTAGATTACTTCTCAAGAATCTTTCAATTCTGAGATTCTTATTGTAAGCAAGAAGGAAAAAGTCAGAGTTCAAGCACTTGCATGTGGGGAGAGTTTTCATGGTGAGGCAAAAAAAAAACAACATGACTACCCTCTATGAGTGACTACAATAGAGTGGAAATAGAGGTCACAGCACTTGAGAACACTGATGAATTAAGAGGTCAGGGAAAGAGAAAGTTCAGAAATGTGAGTACTGAAGTTTATGATAATAGTACTAAGAATGGGATGAAGAAGACATGTCAGATACTGAAATTATTGCTAAGTATGGATCCATTTGAACATAAACAAGGTTGGTGGAATGATTGAGACAGGGTCATACAATTGCCATGAACTTCAAAGGAATAATGTATGAGTGATAAGAAAGGAAGGGCAAACCTGTTGATTACTATACTTACTATACTATACATACTTACTATATTGTAAGACAGGTAGCGTGAGAAAAATGGACACTTTAGTACATGATGACAGATGTGGTTTCTTCTAGAAAACTCATATCACTGCCAGGTGAGAATGTCAGAAAAAAAAAAAAGAATGAAAGGAAGTTTACTAATAACTAGTAATTTCATATTAATAGCAACAAAAGTTAAAATTCATACATGACATGAAAACTACCATCCTCAGCACCCTCTGCCACTTTTTTTTTAAGACATTGTCACGATCACTTTAGAAGCAAATGGGATATTACAGGATTGGGGGCTATATTGTATTTTTTTGTTTTGTTTTGTGAATAGCTATGAGCATAAAATTAATTAACAAATTACCAAAATACTATTGATGATCCTCCACATACTTAGCCACACTGTTCCTCAGAAAGAAGATAGTGGGTCATCAGGTGTGTAATTTCAATTTTGTATAACCTGTCAGAGACTGGTTTGCTTTACACTACCCTATTGAGAAATTAGAGTGATCTCCATGGCATGGTGTACCAAAGAAAGGCTTTTGTGGAGAATTATAATGCTCATTTTAAAAATGAAGCTATTAAGGCTCAAAGAGGTAAAAATGCCCTGTACAGGGTCATATCACTTAAATGTGTAGGAAATGGGACTAGAATTGGATTCTCTTTTTTCTGACTCTAGTCCAGTGCTTTCTCTACTAATGTTAAAACAGCAGATGCAGCAGCAGTGGTAAATCATGCAAAAGAAAGAATTATGAAGGAAAAATGAAAGCAAAGAAGACATTTTTGTTCCCAGTTTGATAGCATTAACTTATATATATTTTTATTGAGGAAACTATATATGACAGTTTATGACAATCACAAATCTAGAGAAGGAAGGGATCTTAGAGATCATCTAGTCCAACCCCTGCAGGTTACAGATGAAAAAAACAAACAAACAAACCAAAATTGTCACCCAGAGAGGTTGTGATTTGCCCAATGTCACACAGAGGAATTTGAATCCAGGTCCTCTAACTCTAACACTAATGCTCTTTTCCAATGTAATATGCTTTAAGATTATGTGTTTACTATAACTAGAATATTTTTAAGATAATATAAAAGATATAGGTAAGTGATTATATGACATTTCAGTGACTTTACTGAACAGTTTAAAAAATATATGGTACTTCAGGCCCTATTTCTGCACCCAAACACTGGCTGCACTAACTCATGTAATTCAGCCTTCAGTTGGCAGCCAGTATGTATTATAGGAAGGAAGGTAATAAGCCTTAATTTTTTCTCCCACAAAGCATTTAAGTACAAAGGAGATGATGACAAACTCTGCCATCTTTACTCTTTAATACAGATAGTTCTCGCTTACCGTAAGTGGACCTTTCTACAGACCTCTCCCTCTTCCTGGGCTCTGCCCAAGCAGCCCAAGCAGCTTCAGTGCTTGTAATCCCCAAAGCCAGAGGGGCTTCAGTGTCTGGGGGAGAGGACCCTTGCCCTGAGGGTTAGGGCTGAGGACCTGCTGCCCACCCACAGGGAGTCAAATTTGCATAATGCACACCTATGGAAAGCAACAACTGTCTGAATTAAAAAAAAAAACAAACCTGACAGGGCTTCATTATGCATTCCTCACATTATTACATAACAGCTAGCATTTATATAATGCATTTAGGTTTGTAAAACACTTTACACATTATCTTATTTGATCTCATTTGATCCTCACAATAATCCTGTGAGGTAGGTACTATCATGTATCCTTGTTTTACAGAAAAGGAAACTAAGGCTGAGAGCAGTTAAGTGACTTGCCCAGAGTCACACAGCTAGAAATGGTCTGAGGCATGATTGGATCTCAGGTTTTCCTGTCTTCAAATCCAGTACTCTATGCAGTGCACCACAATTCCTCTGATAATCTTGTATGGAGTCTCTAACATTTTATAAGGGATAAACTACTCTAAAATTTTTCATAGTAAATACATTCATAAGGTTTTCCTTTAATTAGAGTTATCTGATGCTTTCTAAGGCTTCAGTTACTACTGAAGGTTTCCCACATGCATTGCTTATATGTAATTTTTCAATATTATAAAGTTTCTGATAATATTTCAGGGATCACCTTGATTACAGTACAAATCCTCTTATGTTCATTAAGCTTCCCTTGGTAGATAAAGGATTTTTATACTCATTACTTCCAAAAAGCTTCTCACCAGTGTGAATTAAGGTATCTGCTGTGGCTAAAAGATTTCCCAAAATTACTGCACTCAATAAGTTTCACTCAAGCATGAATTCTCTGATGATAAATAAGGGATTTCCTATGGGTAAAGGCTTTCCCACATTCAGTGCATTCAAAGGGTTTCTCTCCAGTATGTATTCTTTGATGTTCAGTAAGGTTTCCTCTCTGGCTAAAAGCTTTCCCACAATGATTACACTTGTAGGGTTTCTTTCCAGTATGAATTCTCTTATGTAAGGTAAGATAAGAGTTGTCACTGAAGGCTTTCCCACATTCATTACATTCAAATGGTTTCTCTCCACTATGAAGTCTCTGATGGTAAATGAAAGATTTCCTATGGGTGAAGGCTCTCCCACACTTATTACATTCAAAGGGTTTCTCTCCAGCATGGATTCTTTGATGTTCAATAAGACTGCTCCTGTGACTAAATGCTTTCCTACATTCATTACATTCAAATGGTTTCTCTCCAGCATGCATTCTCTGATGTTCAGTAAGGCTTCCTCTCTGTCGGAATGCTTTTCCACACACATTACATTCAAAAGGTTTCTCTGCAGTATGAATGCTCTGATGTGCTGTGAGGTGTCCCCTTTGTCTAAAGGCTTTCCCACATTCATTACATTCAAAGGGTTTCTCCCCAGTATGGATTTTCTGGTGCTGAGTAAGGTATTTCCTTTGGCTGAAAGCTTTTCCACATTCACTACATTCAAAGGATTTATCTCCGGCATGAATTCTCTGATGTTCAGTAAGGTAACCCTTCCGACTAAAGAATTTCCCACATTCTTTGCATTCAAATGATTTTTCTCCAGCATGAATCCTCTGATGTTCTGTAAGGTATCCCTTCCGACTAAAGAATTTCCCACATTCTTTACATTCAAAAGGTTTCTCTCCAGCATGCCTTCTTTGGTGTTCAATAAGTTTCTCTTCCTGGCTGAACATTGCCCCACATTCGGTACATTCAAATGGCTTCTCTCCAGTATGAATTTTCTGATGCTGGACTAGACGTGAGTTTTTGATGAAGGTTTTCCCACATTCATTACACTGAAAAGGTTTCTCTCCGGTATGAATTCTCTGGTGCTCAGTAAGACTTCCTTTGTGGCTGAACGCTTTTCCACATTCATTACATTGAAAAGGTTTCTCTCCAGTATGAATTCTCTGATGTTCAGGAAGATATCCCCTTCTACTAAAGGTTTTCCCACATTCATTGCATTCAAAGGGTTTCTCGCCAGTATGAATTCGTTGATGTTCAATAAGGTTTCCTCGTTGGCTAAAGGTTTTCCCACATTCATTACAAAGATATGGTTTCTCTGAAGTATGAATGCTCTGATGTGTAGTAAGATGGCCTCTGTGGCTAAAGGCTTTCCCACATTCATTACATTCAAAGGGTTTCTCTCTAGTATGAATTCTCTGATGTTCAGTAAGGTTCCCCCTCTGACTAAAGGCTTTCCCACATTCATTACATTTAAAGGGTTTCTCCCCAGTATGAATTCTGTGATGATAAATAAGGGATGTCCTGTGGCTAAAAGCTTTCCCACATTCATTACATGCAAAAGGTTTCTCTCCAGTATGAATTCTCTGGTGTTCAGCAAGATGCCCCCTATGGCTGAAGGCTTTTCCACATTCTTTACATTCAAAGGGTTTCTCTCCAGTATGAATTCTCTGATGTTCAGTAAGGTGACCCCTTTGGCTAAAAGCCTTCCCACATTCCTTACATTCAAAGGGTCTCTCTCTTGTATGAATTCTTTGATGAGATGTAAGGTTTCCTCTCTGGATAAAGGCTTTTCCACATTCATTACATTTATGGGGCTTCTGTCCCGTATGAATTCGCTGATGTTCAATAAGATATCTCCTCTGACCAAAGGCTTTCCCACATTCATGACATATATATGATTTGTCTCCAGAATTTGCTATTCGAAATTGAATAAGGTCTGAGTGGTAACTAAAGGGTTTCCTGTATTTATTATACTTAGAAAGTTTCTTCCCTAAGGAGATTCGATTATATTTAAGGAGATTTTTTCCTGTAGTAACTCTCTGTTGTGAAACAAAGACTGACCCTGGGCTGAAACTTCCTAACAATGTATTATAGTCACTAGCTATTTTTCTGGGAATGTTTGTTACTTGTCTGGATTGTTTCTCCTGGTAGTTCTCTTCCCTCTCTAATTTGACATCACATTCCCGAATTTCTCTCATCTTGGAATCCCAGGTAACTTCTTTTCTGAGTCCTTCTTTGGATATTCCTGTATAACCAGTCTGCTTTGAAGATGAATATTCAGCTTTAAGCTTAGTTTCCAGGCTAAAATAATCTGAAAGAAATAAAGAAATAGTATTAATATCTCTTCTGAAAGGAAACTATTTTATAAAAAAAAAATCTAGATTCTGCTTCTTTCATCAAGAAAGATGATGATCAGCCTAGAAAAGAGAGTTAGGTAGTCAACAGATCCTCATCTCACAAGAAAAGCTCTCATACCATTTAGCAAAATAAATTCTAAATAAATGCCCAACTGAAATATAGAAAGGTCACAACATAAATTAGATGTGCAAGGAAGAAAGAACCTTTTACAACTATAAATAGGGCACGATAAATCAAACAAAATAAAATGTACAATTTGGACTATATAAAATAGAAAATAAATTTCACAAACAAAATCAATACAGCTAAAATAGAATTAAAACAGTTAAATGGGGAGGCAGGAAATCTTTGCAGGAAATTTCTGATAGAGGCCTAATATCTAAAATATGCAAGGAACTGATTCAAATATGTAAGAATGACAACCATTCTCTTAGAAATGGTTAAAGAATATGAAGTCAGAGGGCAGCTAGGTGGCGCAGTGGATAGAGCACTGGCCCTGAAGTCAGGAGGACCTGAGTTCAAATCTGGCCTCAGACTAAACACTTGACACTTACTAGCTGTGTGACCTTGGGCAAGTCACTTAACCCCAATTGCCTAAAAAAAAAAGAATATGAAGTCAGTTCTCAAAGAAGAAACCTAAGCTGTCAACAATCATATGAAAAAAATGTTTCAAATCACTAATAATTTAAAAAACTAAAATGAAAGCAACTCCAATTGTTTTACCTCTCAGACTGACTAAAATGATTTTTTTTAAAAAGGAAATCGATAATTATTGGAGAAGCCATGGGAAGACAGGCACATTGGTGCCCCCACTGTTTGTGGACTTGTAAACTAGTTCAGCCATTCCAGAAAACAATTTGAAGCTATGCTCCCCAAAATCACTAAAGTGTATATACCTCTAAAACAATGATACCACTACTAGGCCTACACCCCAAAGAGATTAAAGAAAAAGGAAAAATAACCTTACACACAAAAATATTTTTAGCAGTTCTTTCTGTTGCAGTAAAGAACTACACACAACTACTTGTACCCATTAACTATGGGATGACCAAAAAAAAAATCACTATATGTGAACATAATGAAATATAGTGCCACAAGAAAGGATGAATGGGCAGTTGCAGAGACATCTGAATAAACTTCCATGAATTGATAGAGTAAAGTGAGCAGACAGAGAAAAATTTACACAGTAACAACATTGTAAAGAAAAACAACTTTGAAACACTTAAGAACTCTTATCAATACAATGTCCAACAACAACTCTAGAGGATCAATGATGAAGCATTGCACTTTTTGACAGAGCAGTGATGAATTCAAGGTAGAGTATGAAATATACATTTTTGGACACGGCAAATGTATAGATTTGTTTTGCTTAACTATGCTTATTTACTACAAGGACTGTTTTTCTTTCTTTTTAATTTTCATTTAGGAGAAGGGGAAAGGGGGAGAGAAGAAGCTAACAACAGTGTTGTCAAGAAATAAAAAGGGGGGGGCAGAGCCAAGATGGCAGAGTGAAAGCAGTGACTTGCTTGAGCTCTCCCCTAACCCCCTCCAAATATCTGTAAAAAAAAGGCTCTAAACAAACTCTAAAGCAGCAGAACCCACAAAAAGACAGAGTGAAACAAATTTCCAGCCCAAGACAACCTGGATGGTTAATTGGAAAAGTATATCGCGCAGGGCAGGGAGAGGAGCACAATTCAGCATGGGCATGTGGGTCACAGCGAACCTGAAGCAGGGCTCAGAGGACTAAATTGCGGGCAGCTGTGGCGGTTTCCAGACTTCTCAGCCCAGGAACGCCAAATACAACTTGGAAAATCAGTGGGAAAAGTCTGTGACTGCAGTGACAGAGAAAAGCTAGGTCTCAGCCTTAAGTCCCAAGCACGGCCCAGGGCTGTGGCTGCCTCCTGAGCTTCCAGCGCACAGACTGAGGGGGAATCGAGTGGCTAATCAAAGGGGGACTCCAGGGATCTCATTGCCAGTGCTGAGGCAGGAATCTCTTGCTTTGCCTGTGCTTGGATCTGGGTCACAGTTCTGGGTGGTGGCCTTGGGGTGAGGAGGAATGCTGGCATGGTGGAGCTTGTTGGGGCAGTGCAGAGGAAACACCTCGCCCCTTATCATACCACTTTGGAAGAACTGAAAATTTACAGGTCTCTAGAAGTATCTCTGAAAACAGCTGTACAAATCCCCAAAGCTTGGGACAGTACATTCTCCACATTGGAAGCAGACTCTTACCTTAACAAAGAGTTTAAAACTCAAGTAATTGGCCAGGATCATGAGTAAGCAGCGCAAAAAGAGTCAGACTATATTATCTTACTTTGGTGACAAAGAAGATTAAAACATACAACCAGAAGAAAACAACAAAGTCAAAGCTCCTACATCCAAAGCCTCCAAGAAAAATATGAATCAGTCCCAGGCCTTGGAAGAGTTCAAAAGGGATTTTGAGAAGCAAGTAAGAGAAGTGGAGGAAAAACTGGGAAGAGAAATGAGAGTGATGCAAGAAAATCATGAAAAACAAGTCAACAGCTTGCTAAAGGAGACCCAAAAAAATACTGAAGAAAATAACACCTTAAAAAATAGCCTAACCCAAATGGCAAAAGAGGTCCACAAAGCCAATGAGGAGAATAATGCTCTAAAAAGCAAAACTGGCCAAAAGGAAAAGGAAGACTACAAAAGACTACTGAAGAAAATACTGCCTTAAAAATTAGAATAGAGCAATTGGAAGCTAGTGACTTCATAAGAAATCAAGATACTGTAAAACAAATCCAAAAGAATGAAAAATTAGAAAGCAATGTGAAATATCTCACTGGAAAAACAACTGAGCTGGAAAATAGATCCAGGAGAGAGAATTTAAAAATTATTGGACTATCTGAAAGCCATGATCAAAAAAAAAAAAAGCCTAGACATCATCTTTCAAGAAATTATCAAGGGAAACTGCCCTGATATTTTAGAACCAGAGGGCAAAATAGAAATTGAAAGAATCCACTGATCTCCTCCTGAAAGAGATCCCCAAAGGAAAACCCCTAGGAATATTGTAGCCAAATTCCAGAGTTCCCAGGTCAAGGAGAAAATATTGCAAGCAGCCAGAAAGAAACAGTTCAAATATTGTGGAAACACAATCAGGATAACACAAGATTTAGCAGCTTCTACATTAACAGACCACAGGGCATGGAATATAATATTCCAGAGGGCAAAGGAGACAGGATTACAACCAAGAATCACCTACCCAGCAAAACTGAGTATAATCCTTCAGGGGAAAAAATTGTCATTCAGTGAAATAGAGGACTTTCAAGCATTCTTGATGAAAAGATCAGAGCTGAATAGAAAATTTGACTTTCAAATATAAGACTCAAGTGGAACATGAAGAGGTAAACAAGAAAAAGAAATCATAAGAGACTTATTAAGGTTGAACTGTTTACATTCCTGCATGGAAAGATGATATTTGTAACTCATGAGACCTTTGTCAATATTAGGGTAGTTGGAGGGAAAAAATTATAAGTATGTATATAGATAGATAGAGAGACAGACAGACAGATAGATAGATAGATAGATAGATAGATAGATAGATAGATAGATAGATAGGTAGGTAGATAGATAGATGGTATAGGGTGAGTTGAAGATAAAGGGATCATATCTGGAGAATAAAATTAAGAGGTGAGAGAGGATTATACTAGGAGAAGGAGAAAGGGAGAGGTAGAACAGGGTAAATTATCTCACAAAAAAAAACCAGAAAAGAAAAGGCTCTTACAGTGGAGGGGAAATGGGGGAAGGTGAGAGGGTATGAGTGAATCTTATTCTCATAGGATTTGATTTAAGGAGGGAATAACATACACACTCAATTGGGTATGGAAATATGTCTTACCCTACAGGAAAATGGGAGGGAAGGGGACAAAAGAGTGAGGGGATGATAAAGAGGAGGGCAGATTGGGAAAGGGGATAATCAGAAGCAAATACTTCTGAGGGCGGGACAGCGTCAAAAGAAAGAATAGAATAAATGGGGGGGGCAGGATAGGATTAAGGGAAATAGAGTTAGTTTTTCACAGCATGTCTCCTGTGGAAGTGTTTTGCATAACTGCACATGTATAACCTATATTGAGTTGCTTGCCTTTTCAATGAGGGTGGGTGGGGAGGGAGGAAGGGAGAAAATTTGGAACCCAAAGTTTTAAAAACACATGTTTAAAAAAAAATATTTTCACATGCAACTGGGAAATAAGAAATACAGGAAATGGGGTACAGATATCTATCCTGCCCTACAGGAAAATAGAAGGGGAAGGAGATAAAAGAAGCGGGGGGAGAGATAGAAGGGAAGGCAGACTAGGGGAAGGGGTATTCAGAATGCATGCCATCTTGGGGTGAGGGAGGGGCGAGATGGGATGAAAATTTGGAACTCAAAATCTTGTGGAAGTAAATGTTGAAAACTAGAAATAAATTTATTAATAAAAAATCTTTGATACTTAAAATAGAAATAAAAAGGGTCACTGAAGAATTTTTTTAAAATGCACTTACTTCAGAAACCCACAGAAAAAGCTTTGAAAGTAACATGATGAATTTATCATATATTGCATTTAAAGGGAAGTTGTATATCAGAATTTCATTATTTCATATAGCCTCTTTTTCTATTCTACTTTACATGGAAATGTTCTCTTCTTTGGGAATCCCTTAAGTTCAAAATAAGCAAAATAAAATCTACTTCAAAGTTGTGTGTAGAATAGATAGGAGAGAGGGAAGATGAGACAAAGAGGCCAATTAAAAACTAATGCAATACCTCAGGAAGAGGTGATGAGTCTAAACTAGGGTGGTAGTCATGTTAAGTAGAGAGAGAAGAATGGATATAAGATATTACAGAACCAGAACAAAACTTGCCAAGTGCTTAGACATGCAAGGTGAATAAGAAAAAGGAGCAAAAAGATTGCAAATGGGCAAATGAGATGGTGATGCCCTAGACAGAAATATTAAGTT